AGGAATGCCTTCAGAAATAAACTTTCACAGCTTTATAATCTATCCCTCTCTAGGTTACCTGCTGTGTCCCTTGTACACTGCAAGGGAATTGGGTGTAGCCTGAGGGAGAAATAAAATCTTGCTGATGGACTTGCTGTTGTGTATTGGTTGCCTAGTGTCCAGAGAATGACAGAAGTATCCTATGAAAAAAAAAGTGCTAAATGGAAGAAGAGATAAGTATCATTTAGAGATGTAGCAGAGATGAAACTTCCAATCATGTCCTTTCTAGTGATTTTTTTGTGGAAATGCTAAGGTTAAAAGGATATTTCAGTAAATTTGCTGATTCCAGGCAGAATCAGACTGATGTTACAAGATTTCGATCAATTTTTAAAAAATTTACGTTAAAAAATTTTTTAAAACAGTCGGCTGTGTTTGACTCTAGGGTTTCATTGTAACCCATAATACGTGGGGGTCAAATGAAAGATGTGACTCTTGTCACATTTGTCAATCCAAATGTGTATTTGGATTCTGCTCTAGCACAGAAATTCAAGATTTTATCTTTAATAAATAAATAAATAAATAAATCCTAATTAATGGTTCTCAATACAAGAAAGCTGTTAATGTTAGGAAGTGAGGTTATAATGAAACTGTTTAATCAAATGGTGCAATTTAAGATGTTTACCAGGAACAGAGATCTCAAACAGGAAAGAAGTAAGTTGGAACTCAAGATGGAATAATTGTTGTGATTATTACATTTGAGTGAGATCCATGTGAATGCAGATTGCTGCATGATGGAGTAACAATGCTCATGGCTTGAACTCGCAGTATAAAATTCTGAGGGAGGCAATCTCTCTCCAGTATCTCTCAGTGGCTGCGGTTGGGTACCAGGTTGCTATGGTAACAGATGAAGGCTTGCCCGGTTAAACATCCTCTGAGCACAATGGTATTTTCAGTCTGGGGCTTCAAATAAGACCTATCATCTTCTGCTTCTTTGTTGTTTGCAATAATTATCTGCCTATCAATTCTCTGAGAAGAACTGCAGGTGAGGCTGCTTAACCGTATGTTTTCTGCCATAAATATGTGATTCTCTGTTGCCCCTTGAAGAAAGCTGACCTGCAATGGAAACTTGACCCGGTTACTGTCCTCTGCAAAGTGGTGGCAAAAGTGGTTGAGCCCTTATGTTGCAATTCAGATCTGATTCTGTTGAAATGCTCCTGGGGAGAAGGGGAACGTGCCACTGTGTGACAAAACATCGTGCACAAAATGGGAGTAATAACAGCATCGGTCACGGTTTTTGATGAACTTTACGTTTGAATCTGGCTGTTTGCCTCACTTGTGAGGAGTGGGGGCAATATTCAAGATTTGCCTTGTTTTGGTGATGTGCAAGAGAGTGAGAGGTAAGCCAGAGGCAGTGCTGAAATGTGAAACTTGCGAAGGGTTAAACTTCTCAAGAGCAGATTTTACATCATGTATGACAGATTTTTCCAGGCTTTACTTCACAGTCTTCGTGCATGCTCTGTTTGCAGCAATCGGAGTATTAAGCACAGACTCTTGCCCAGAAAAGACGTTGTGGTTTGTAGGAGTTTCCTGCAGCAATTCTTAGTTTCTGAAAAGCAAACCTCAACCTTGTGCCCCAGTATTGATGTTCTAGTGTTAATTTCCATTTTAATATGTTTTGTTGCCGTTCCTGGCACCTTATCTGTCCTTGTATCACTTTAACTGAGAGCTCTCCCTCTGCAGCATCCAGTTCTTTTGCTGTTATTATAGAAACAGTTCAAGAGCCCATTTGGGATCTTGGGTCCAGCTCCAGGGAACAGGTACGGGGTGATGTGGCAGTACTGTGATTCCAAATGGATGAGATGCCAAAAATAGCAACATTCCCATCTGTCAATATTGCACTGTAAGTGGTATCTGTGACGGTAGTCTTGCCTTATCCTGTACTGTGCATGCTGTGTGACCTATCTGGTCTTTCGCTGTGCCATCTGACCCTCCCGAGCCTCTACTTTCAATTCCACCTTTTTCCCAGTTACACATTTGGCATCTCCATTAGTGATGAGGGAGAGGAGGAGGTAGAGGTTGGCTGTGTTCCCTGCCTCTGTCAGCAATTATCTGCATAATTTCTCCAGCAAACTTTGGTCCAGAAGAGAGCTGTCATGTAGGTGAGAGGAGGGGGTGGACCACCTACTCTTCGAAAGAAGTAAGCGGTCAGGGTGGTGCTTAGTTTGTGAATCCTGCAGACTGCAACATCCACTACAGAGTCAAGCCCCGGGGACATGTTCCTTCCCTTACAGAGATCTGATCTGCTGGAGGATGGGCATAGGGCAGCGAGATATTAATGAGCCCAGTCCTCCCCTCCACACTAGTTTGGGTTTTTGTATTTGCATCAAGAAAGAGTAAACCGTTAGTCATCTCTTAACAGGTACATCTGTGAATTTATGGATTAAAAAAAGGTGGCACCTGCCCTAAAATAAACAGTAGGAGTAAATAGTATGTAGGTGTGATAGGATGGATGAAAGGTGTGTAAGGAAACAAGGAGGTGGTATCTGGGCAGACCTCTCTGTGTGTCAGCTGTATTTCAGTAAAGTCTAGAGAGATATCCTCTCACAAGCTTCTCTGTCTATTCAGCTCTTGGGAGTACACTGCCTTTGTTCCCAGCTGTACTGAAGTGTTTATTCATTAGATTTTGATAAAGAAAGTCAAATTTCACATTCTTTAATCAGTGTTGGTAACTGAGTGTTATTAATTGATTGCTCAATACCTGTTAGCATGATAGAATCATAGAATGGTTAGGGTTGGAAGGGACCTTAAAGATCATCTAGTTCTAACCCCCCTGCCATGGGCAGAGAAATCCTCCACTACACCAGGTTGCCGAAAGCCTCATCTAACCTGGCCTTGAACACTTCCAGGGATGGGATAAGCTAACATAAACCTGCACCGACAACAGCCTTCAGATTATGTATTCATTCTGTAAATTATTAATAAAATACTATTGATCTTGTCCCAACTGCTGAAATATTTGTCTTTTATGAAGAGCAACTTTTTTTTTTCCCTTTAACTAGTAAACTATATTTATTTAGGGGTTTCGTTGCCTATTTTTCCTTCAAGAACCAGCCTCTTTTTGCAAGTTATTTGAAGAGGTGGTCTGCACACCATGACTGTTTTCTGTATTTTATTCTTTCTTGGTATCCTCAAATATTTGTGAGTGTAGTCAAGGACACTGATCCAGCTAGATGTTTCGCAATATAATTTCCTCAATAAGGAAATATGGGAAGACCTTTATCAGTGTCATTACTGGTTTTCTCACTAGCACTTGTGTGAAAACCCAAGGTAAATAAGCCCATGAAGCTAGAAATAAAAGCGGAACAGTATGATCTTTTAATGGAAACATCTGCTGCTTTTCTTCAGAAAACATCTGACCTTTAAAAAGATAGGTTTACACCATGGTCTCTTTTTTACAGATAGGGAAACAAAGAGCGTAAGTGGTTTAACCAGCATGGTACAGCTGGTTCAGTGCAGTGCTGGGAACAAGACTCGTCTCTCCTACTCCCAAGCCACTAGTTGACCGCCAGGATGTTCTGTAGCACCTTCAGTAGCTCTTATTACTATTTGTTCTCTCTCCAGGGCTGTTGTGTTTTTTTCATTATCTTTTCGTTCAGTCCTGCCATGCTAGCATCGCCCATCTGTTTTTCTTGCAAGTGCTTTTGCTATTTCTTCAATGACTGCCTTATGCTTGGAACAATCTCCTTGGTCTCTTCCTGTCGTGGTTTCAGGACACCTCCTTCTCAAAAACTGTATGTACTAGGACGCAGAGAGGAAACTGATTGCCTGCTGATGGTGACAAGGCAGAGAGCCAGAAAGGATAGCTAAATTATGATGCATGAGTGTGGTTTCTAGCCTGGTCTGTGCTGAACTTCAACACTTTCTATCAGTTCAAGAGGATGAGACAACCCTCTAGAATATCTCTCTTGTCGTCCCACTAGAAATTCACCCACATGTGGTCAAAATGAGAACATCAGTTTATAAAAATCTCATGTTGTATCCTGAAGCAAAGGGCAGAGGTAATCTTAAGAAGTTGAGAGGTTGTGGGCTGTGTTCACTCCATGTTCTGCACTCTTTGTAGTTCCCTTCATTCTCACTTGCTGTGAGGCCTGACTAATATTTTCTGTGCAATCGTGAGGATTTATGGCATCGGAACTAAAATGAGGTGTTCCCTCCTTTACGCCCATTGCTCCCTGTCTTGATATCTCAGCCTCAAGAATTGTGAGATGGAAATAAAAGTGTAAGAAAAAAATGGATGAGGAATGAAACAGTTTTTTGGGGTACACTTACCCATATTTTTTCTTCTTGTTGTCACATACAAGCAGTGTATTTTCTCTTCCAAGTTTGACCATGTGCTCTTCAGGAGATGAAACCTGTGACCTGACTGTGTGGGAACTTTGCTGTTGTACTTTAAAATACCCAAAGCTGGAAAGCAGACACTTATGAAAAGTTTTTTGCTTTTAAAATTAGCACAATCCTGATAAAACTTCACTTCTTTTTTTTTTTCTTTTTTTTTTTTTTGTTAAATGATGACGTGCTGATATTAGAAAACAGAAAGCTGTTCTCCCTGAGTTCTCTGCCTGGCTGGATGACCATCATAACAAGTGCTGACTTCTGCATCAGAAGCACTGAGCATGTGGTGCAAAACGTTCTCAGCATATATAAAATTTGCCTGCAAACTGTTTTAATATGTGACTTCAGTTCCATTTCATGATTATTACTTTTTTTTAATTCCACATCACCCCCCTGTTAAAGTGTTTGAATGAAAAACTCAGGATTTTGATGGATAGCTATGTAAGTGCTTACATACCAAGTCACAAAAGCCATGGGGTGTGTATAAAGAAGTATTCTTTAATTGTTTTTATCTTTTAGGTCTCTCAGCAGCCAAACTGCTGACTGAGTCAGGCTTGAACGTGGTGCTGCTGGAAGCCAATGACAGGATTGGTGGAAGAACTTTCACTGTAAGGGTAATTATCTCCAAACCCATTTCTACTATATATACATACATATAGTATATACTATGCGTAAGTATAATTATACACGTGTATGGTGTATGTGTATATATATGTATAGGATACTATACTGTATGGCTAGTGTACGTAAATGTATTTATTTATATTTCCTGCTAGAGGACCTGCTTGAGGGAGAATTTCTAGAGAACTAGTAGGTGGGAAATTTCCTGATAGTGTACCAGCAAGAGTAGGGAAGGACTGACATGATGGCAGAATGGCCATGGAAAGACTGGCAGAATATTTCCGTGTAATCTGCAGGCTCTGGAGTTACCAGTCCTTTCCTCTGACAAGGAGAACATGATTGGCTCGTTTCAAAATCATTTCCCAGGGAGAGACAGTGGAGAAATCTCTGTGAAAAAAACACCTGTAAGGCCGACCATGCCATGAAGAGCCTTGAGCTGAACCATAACAAGCCCTTTGAGGAGTGACATAGGTTGGAGGAATGGCGTGTCTCCCATCATTCCTTCACCTTCTGCCCTACCTTGACCGGGGAGACCTCCTCCCACTCTGCTCATTAGAAAATCTTAACTGTGCTATTTCCTAGTACAGTCTGTTTTGAACTAGTCATTGGCGAGATGCCTGACAGAGCAAGAACAGCACAGATGTCTCTGACTCTGTACTTCTCTCTCTGCCTGTCAGGCTCTTTCCTCTCATGTTTGTTAAGGCTGTAATGTAACAACAGGTCAGCAAAGCTGGTTATGAACTCCTTATCTGAGATTCTCAATAATTACCACACCAGAACCTCTTATCAAAGAACTGAAGTTTTCCATGGGGAGAGGAATCTTGGCCAAAGTGCTCTGGGAGTATTTCACTTAAAGAGTTCCTCTGGATTGATCTTTTAACTTGTGTGCCATTTGCAAAGAGCTTATTTTTTTTCTTTTTTTTTTTCCCCTTTTGTGTGATAAACTAGAATAAGCAAGTTAAATATGTGGACCTTGGTGGAGCTTACGTGGGGCCAACACAAAACCGTGTCCTGCGGTTATCTAAAGAGTTAGGAATAGAGACGTATAAAGTGAATGAAGTTGAGCACCTGATACACCATGTCAAGGTAAGATGCTCTCAAGCATGCTGCTGTAGACAGACAAGTTATAGTGATCTCCTTTCTCGTTTTCCATCCATGTTACAGCGGAGTATACCTGTTTAGGTATTCATCATCTGAGTTTCTCGGAGAAAAATAAGTCCGTTGGTAATGAAGACCTTATACAAATTACTATATGCATGCACATCTACATATGTATCCTGTAGATGCATTCTGTGCTGATGCCTTGGTTCAGGTCTAAGCTCTTAGTTAAAAGCTCTCAAAAAGCTTCACTGTTTCTGAACAGTACAACTGTGACTCTTCTGTACAGGTCAGCTCTCATATACCCTGCCTGAGGTATCTGAAAGTCGCTTTCAGAAGTCCTAGAGGTGTCTTCAATCAGGTTGACATTTTCTCAGGATGGGCTTCCTAAGCCAGTGACAATTATAATGCTGACTGAAGGAAACCTGAGAGGTTAAGTCTGGTTTTGCTGCTGGGGGAAACTAACCTGCAGAGTAGCAAAAGGCATTGTAATAGTAATTGCAAAAGGCTCTGGGATTCAGACATTCCTGTGGAGGCAGATCTAAACGATCTGTTCATGATCTGAAACAGGACAGCTATGGCAAGGCTGTTGAAAAGCCCACGTATTCTCAGTATTCGTACTGTGCTTCTTCCAAAAGAACATCCTTTCTCCTTTCCTGATACAGAGCAGTGTTGCACTCCCACAGAAAGGAAACTTTCTATGTTAGTCCTGAGCAAATTAACAGTGAGTTTCATTATATGCTTATGAAAAGCCATTGTGCAATGACTGGCAAAATATTTGTCAGATAGTAGTTGATGTTTGATCAAAGGGTAAAGAAAACATTGTCCGATATAAAAACAGCAATAGAGAAAAAGTATTTTGCCATGTTTTCCAATACTTTTCCCACTCAATTGTTATAAAAAAGAAGTGTATTCTCAAAGTGATTTGCTATGATGACTGTCCACAATTACTTCTTCTGTGGTAGATAAGAGTACATTCATGCTGTGTGGATGTTTCGTGTGCCTCTGGCATCATCCTCAAAGCCAAATTTTATGTGTATTCATACTATTTAGCCTTCAGTCTCCTCAATAGTGATAGGAGGTCATGCTGTGAGGGGAGACCTTAATGGTAGAAGATAACTGACACGGCCAGTCAGATGACCAGCTCTCAGGACAACCTCGCTGTCCTAGCATGGGGACATTCCAAAATGCTGCCAGAAGTCACTGAAGCCAATGCTGAAGCTGACACTTGGGCCTGATTTATTATCAGCAGCCAGTCAAACATGGCTGCTTGTTTGAAAAGCCAGACCCTAAAAGATTCTTTTAGGATCTCTAGGAACCTGCTTGTGGGGGAATATTGGTATTACTATGCTGGTTGAAGTAGCCTTTTCCAACAGGCTTTTAGAGTGAGGAAAACAGAGAACGGCACAAAAGTAGAAGTTTGGGCTCTTGCCAAGGACAATCTCTCTGTCCCTTGATCACAAGTATCTTATCGCTTGAGTTGCCAGTAGTTGTGCATAGCCTTTTACCATCATCTATGGATACCTTTTAGTCAGGTTGGTGAGTGCTGCTGTGAGTCAAGGCTCTCAGCTTCCCTCCCTACCCAGCACTGATGGGACTTGCTGGCATTCAGGGGTGTGTGCCAGGCTGGCAGAGAGACCTTTGGACATTCCAACTCCACCCTGAGCTTGGAGCAGTGTCTACCTCATAGTTAGGTCAGGTTACTTGGGGCCATTCCCAGTTAAGTGTTGGAAGTCTCGAAGGAGAGAGATCCCACCTCCTGGCTGAGGTGCTCCCAAGGCATGCTGAGAGCCTGCAGGTTGGATTCAGCTTGTAGGCTCAGGCTCCCAATGTGGCTGCCTGTAGGAGAGCTCCTCAAGAGAGGAGGGAGAGAAGTGTGTGCCAGGACTCCCTGCTAACCAAGAATCAAGTAGAGAGATGTTCTACGGTCAGTAGCTACTCCTTTGAATCCCCTCATTTCACTCATTTTAAATCTTTTGTTTCCTTTTGCCTCTGTGTTTATACAACTGTGGAAAAAGAAGTATTATCATGGCTAAAGAATTACTCGCAGTTAAGGAACTGGAAGATGAACAGTGTATGGTAAACATATGCATTGTTTTGGGGCAAAGTCAATGTAATGATCTTCAGCCTTTTGCATTTCATGTAACTGTAATACATTCCTTACAGATCTCTGACTTTCAGCCATGTGGCTTGCCCATGCGTTCCCTGAAAGTGGACAGTGTTCTTGTGTGCTTCCTGAAATTTAAGTAGTACTCTCAAGTCATAGCTTGCAAATTGGATTCCAAAAGATACAAAGGTCTGTTGCCCCTGCATGAATTTGAATTCACGTGCTGACCTAAGCTTTGTGATTGTGGCCAAATCTAATTAAATTCTGGACCGCAAAACTCTCTCTGAACCCACAGAGGTGAAGAAACCTAAAGTTTTTAATTCTTCTCTCTCTACAATCAGGCATCACAGTGCATCTTGTAAAATCAGCTGCTGTTTTTACATATACCCAAAGGCATAATCAAGCCTTTCATAGTTAATTAAATTCATTTTAGAGACTTTTTAATACAAGTAATATATGCAGCTTCTTTGTACTACAAAATGAAAAGAATGCATTTTGTTGATCTCTGGGTGGGTCTTTGCTAATTAGGCTTTACCAGCTTGATTGGGTTGTGTGGGGTTTTTTTGCTTTTAATCTTTTTTAATGTCAGGTTCTATTGTGAGATTATTTTTGGTCTCACTTATATTGTGTGTGATATCTTCACAGAAACTCAAAATTATATTTCTTGCCCTACATTTTTTTTTCTTTCCCTCTACTTGTTAAGCAGCCTTTTTCATGGTCTTTGAAAGGAGATGAGTATGTTCTTTTCATTTGTGTAAATACTGGTTCATCAGCCTTAGTGAGAAAATTAGGATTGCTTTGCAAGTAGCGTTTGATAGGCAAATTGCTGCCTGAACACCATTGCTTTTCAATGGTGTAACTGAAGTTAGATTCATAAATCCAGTTTTAAGAAGCAAAAGCAGAACTATCTGAGAAGTCACCTCCTAAAAGTGCTACCATTGGACTGGTAAGCAGATGTAAAACACTTCTTAAAATGGGATAACTTTTCCTTATTTTCCCAAGACAGAATTCAGGGCCCTACCTTAGATAGGTAGATTTGTAGCTTTTGACTGGTGGTTATTTTCCTCACCGAAATGACAGCTTTTGTCATAGAAAAACAAACCAAAATACATATAATCTGGGTAATTTTTTACCTTTACCATGTAACAGTCCCTGGAAAGAAGTATTGAAATACGAAAACATATAAATTATTGTGAGGGTTTAATTACCAGCATATTTTCTTCATTAATTCAAACTGCACTTCACTTTTGTGCAGTCCCAATAGCCATGCAAATTTATTGCATTTTAAACCACAATTTTCTCGAGTGTTATCAAGTGTAACACAAATTCCTTCGCTAAGTAAGATAACTGCGGAACTGGTTTACTCCGTTACCCTAAATCTGTGGAAAGAAACGTTTCTTTGTATGACTTGTTTTGCCAAATTAGTCTTTTTAAACTTGATTCCTTCATATGGTTTAATGGGAGGTTAGGGATGGTTGGACTGGATGATCTCTAAGGTCTTTTCCAACCTAGATATTCTATGAAATTCTATACACAATCAGGATGACCTGCCCTTTGTCCTGCTGTGGTGCCATCTGAGCACCTTCTGATCCCGTTTTCGCTGATGGAGAGATTGAATGAAAACCCAGCAACATAGACTGGCAATGAGACTCCTCTTACTGGCTATGTCAGACCAGCAAAGCTTGTTTCTCAAAATCTAGACATTAGCCTGTGGAACCAGACTGCCATTGATGCTTGTTGTCATTTTCTTCCAGATGTTTTTTCCACCATAACTTTCTATGAGGTAATGCCATGATCCTTCCTGGAATTTCCCCAGATTATAGCATCGTTGCTAGAAAATGGTAGTAACATTTATTCCTTTTAATCTCTGTGTTGTCTGAGTGCAGACTGTGGATAGTGCTAACAGCTGACTTAGGTCACTGGCTATTTTGACAGTGTGCTGCACCTGAAGCATTCCTCCTGTGCTTGTAATTAAGATAAGTTCTGATGGTTGTTTCCTTAGCACCAAAAGGCAGACTTTGCGTTGCACACAGCCAGGAGGTTCTTTCAGGTTAAAATGCTGGGTGAAATGTGAAGCATCTCCTCCCTACTTGCTGGACAGGTTCTTGACAGTGAGTTGCTGATTATGTCGTTTCCTCAGTTAAGTTCCCTGTAAAAGAATGAAGTTTTCTTATGCCCATTTATCTACCAGCAGCACTGGCTAGAGGTGTCCAAATGCATGTCTTGTCCTCTTCAAGTTTAACACAACTTTCATATACAATCAGCATCTCTGGGCAGAATGCTAATGGGAACCTAGTCTGCAGCATGTCACTGAAGGTGAATATTTAGTCTTATACATGCAATACATTTAACTAGGACCACAAATCTGCACTAATGTTAGTGGGTTACATGCTGATCTACAATAGATCTGCAGAAAAAAATTGTACGGCCCTCTTGAGTATCATTCATTTTCAGCACTATTGTGCTTATTAAAATGCAGTTTGCTGTGGTCTTGTTCATGAATAAAAAATGTGATGGTCCCATTGTATTGGGATTTAATTAGCAGCTGGATAAGTGACTGCTGTATCTAAAATTATAGAATTTAGGGGTGCTTCTTCTGTGATATCAGTGATATATGCACTAAAGCTAGGCAATATGATTTATTTAAGCTTTTGACCGGCCTCTGTGCAAATCTAAGGGCAGTATCTCCTGATATAGTATGTATATAGCATAACAGCTTAAAGGGATTTTTGAACAACTAGGAATAAAAGTGCTTTCATTTTTCTTTGTGTATCTTAATTAGAGCGCAGTCAGAGAATGAAAAGTCTGCAAGACTCTCAGTTTCTATCAATTTAAATGAAGCGAAATGGCATCACATCTTTTGTTTGTTTTTTTTTTTTCC